ACCACTTCTTTTGGGAGTCGGTTCCAGAATTTTATGGCCTGGTATGAGAACCAGTACTGCATTGCAATTTGGTTTCTCTTTAGCTTTTGAACTCTTCTGCTATGTCCTCCAAAGTGTTCCGACCTGGTGGGAGGGAAAAGAGAGAATAGGCCTGGTCCGTAGTCAGTATTTAAAATTTTAAACACTGTGATTGTATCTCCTGTCTGCCTGCGATATGACGGGGAGAAGAGATTTAAACTGTCTAGTATTTCCTCATGTGATAAATTTTTCATGCTGATAATCACACGTTTCGCCTTCCTATTGACCTTTTCTAGCATTTGTGTGTCCCCTTTAAGATAGTCCCAATATCCAATATAGCTTTCACGAGCTATTCTAAGCCAAATTGACTTCCTTGTGCTCGCTTCCTTGTTATAAGGCGAGGGTACTCGGTATTCTGAAAACCTGTGCCTAGTTTGTTCCACCACTCAGTTGTCGTAGTTTCGATCGACTCTGGGATTGATCATATGTGGTTCGTAGCGTACAGTGTGTTAAAACCATGCCGTTATTGTGAGTGGAATTGATCGTCTCACCCGTTAGTTGTTCGGTGTAGTTGAAAATTGGGATGTAGGGGTAAATAATTCCTCAAAATTATTGACCATAGCAATTATCACTGAGCACTGGATGCAGATCCTCAGTGTTTAAGCCGAATTGTTTAGCTGAAGGCTTCCGGTCAAGCATCCTCGCCATATGGTACTCCGTCGTATCACGTTTGTGCAGGATCACTAGCCAGCTTAGCTTTCACTTCAGTCCAAGATTTGATCCCGAAATATATCTCGTGGTTTGGACGATCAAATATCGTCTTTAGCTTTGACTTTGGTCCACGAGAAACGAATACTATGGAAGTTGTTGGTATAAGATCTTGCGTTATTATACTCCGCACATAACGCGAACGTCAATACCGTTAGCCTCTAAAGAGGTAAAAATCACCAATTATGTGGACTTAAAAAGAAAAGAAAGGAAATATAAGGAGAGATATTAATATATTTCTTCCTGTTTACTCAGGAACATACCAATTGTACAGGCATGGATAAGTTATTATATATATTACACATAATTTGATGTATGATGAATTTACAATTTGGTTGTTCCCTCTGACATGAGAGTCAGTCGGAACAGTCTGCTCTAAAGTCTGTTTTTGCAGCACATAAAGAGATATAGAAATATTGTCTTCGCATTAAAAAAACCCAGACATCAGATGAATGTAATGCGGATATCTGGGAAAAAACGCTTCTCTTACATAACTTTGTTGTGAACAGCACCCTTGGCTTAAAGTTTATTGATGTATTATGTTGAGATCAGTAACATATTTATTCCATTTTTTCAGTAGTCTTATCGTAGTTTTATAACAGGAAAGAAATTTGATCGTGGATGCGAAAACTAGATAAGGTCATATTAAGTTGTTTTACTGCATCAAATCGTACCGAGGTCGATTCCAAAATTCTCCATTTGCTCCATTTATGTCTGCATGGCGGACTGTATTCGTAAGTTGAGTAAAAATGTTGAAAACGGTTTGAAAACCAGTTGCTTCTTCATTTCAGATCATGAATACTCATTTACAGCATGTTCGCCAGCGTCTTCAAATGGTAGAATCGGATCGTTCATGAAATTTCAGTGGTTATGAGATAGATGGTTTGGAATTAATCCTCATTTCAGTTTAGATGCAGGGTTGTTCGACCTCGACCGGAAGATGAATAGGAGTAGCAGAGTACCAAAAACAGAAAGTATGTGAACATGAAAAGGATAATAATGCATATATATAAATGTTTATGTCAGTTGTATATTATACATTAGTAAAAATTTACCTTTATTCTATTTGTCTCTTCACGTATTTATGCGAAGTCTTAGAGTTTATTTAATGTCATAATGTGTATTAATGAGTCTGAGCGTTTTAGTGTTCTAATGACTGATGCGTTTTAGAAATAAGTAATGGGTTCTGGTAGGGATAGTCTTTGAGATGAAAGCTTATATAGCAAGCGTTTGAAGGTTACAACAAAGTGACACGTCCTATTTCTAAGGGTAAACTAATCCTGTATGTTCCGTACTCAGTCTTTATGCATCCATACTGCTAGTTTATTTATAGTTTTTAGATTGCTAAGGGTGTTGAAGTGCGTTTTTTAGGTGCTGTAGTAGATTAGTAGTTGATTCGTCTTAGGAGTAAATAGTTTATTGATATAATCAGTAGAGTGGAACAGTCTGTATAGAGAGCGTTTGAAGCTTGTAACCGAAGAGCAAGTTCTGATATCTATAGGCAGGCTATTCCATATTTTAGAATACATGACTGTGTAGAAGTTTTCACGGAGTGTTGACTTAAAAGAATGAGTTGTCACTGTGGTAGTTTGGTTACGCAGATCGTAAGAACCTTCCTGTGCGAATTGTATGTCCCTGTCACCTGAGAATGATATTTTGTGAAGGACCTTAAAGAAGAATATTAGGTTTATAATAAGTCGCCTTGTCCAAAGTGGGTCGAGTTTTAGGATCATGCACCGTGAGATGTAGTCTTTCTTGCAATCGTAGCCAAGTAGTTTTGAGGTAAAATATCGTTGGATACTTTCCATTCTTAGCTTATCACGTGTGCGAGTGCTGCTTATAATAAATGGACAGTATTCTAGTAGTGGTCTGACACATGTTTTGTACAGAATAAGTTGGCTTCATTGTTGTGAAAGTTCCTGAGTATGCATCCTAAGAGCATCCTCGATTTTCTAGTCTGCGACGCTACTTGCTCTGAGAATGTCAAGTCACTAGAGTACCTCAAGCCTAGGTCAACGACACTTCGGAGTCTGGTTAGGTTAGCAGATTGGAGCGTTAATTTCAGGGTTCTCCGAAGCAGATCCAGCCACATTTGTTCAGATTAAATTGGAGGTTCCATAAGGACCACCAAGCAGTCATTATATCTAATTCCTTCTGCACTACATTCTCGAAGTTCCACAAGTCATCACGTTGGAGTGTATAAGCTACTTTTAGGTCATCTGCAAAGATGAATGGTTCCCGTGCGTGAAGCAAGCGCATATGTCATTGATTTATAATGTAAATAGGAGGGGTCCAATGACACTACCTTGCACTACACCAGAAGTGATAGATGTTACTGTAGTTGAAGACTGAACGATCAATTCATGGTTGTTTGCTCAAAACCAACTTCCCCAATTTTCGCGGAGGCATCAATACGACAGTCATCGTCTCATCGGTCGCTGTTCAGAAAGAAGTCAGCAGTAAACCGTCAGAAACCTTAGTGGAAATATTTTTTATATGTTGGTGTAACAATAAAGAATCCTCGAGTCAACAATTGGTGTTTTGGTTTTTTCGTCCGTTATTACTAAGCGTTTCTGAGAAACTTCAAGCAACAGAGTGAGCCCGAGCGTAGCAAGAGCTGGGCATTGACGGTTTACGAGACGTGGCTGACAGTTTCTGACGGTAGAAGCAGATTCTGGCGGATTCAGACAGTTGGTGAAAGTTTGGATAGTCACCGTTCATCTTTCCTGGTGCCGGTCAAGCCCTCTTTGAACAAGCAATATCTGGAACTTTGTTGGAATTGGGTCAAGTTCAACAATGCCTGGGCCAAAGAAGGGACAGAGCGTCTTGGATGCAAACAGGAAAGTAAGTCATGTTGACTTGTCTGTTAATTGTGTCGATGTGTCTGATGTTAAGCATGACATGGTTGATGTTACTGTTTCGCCGTTCAGAGATAATAGGAACATCAAACTCCCTAAATTTGAACCACGGTGTTTCGATGGAAACCCAGCTGATTATTTACAATTTGTGAAGGAGTTTGAGATCATGTTGAGTAGTTTTCTATTGAGTGATGAATTGAAATTGACGTATTTGATGAGGTATTGCACTGGAGATGCTTCAAGAGCTATACAGTGCTGTAAGTTTATGAAGCCAAAAGATGGCTACTACGAGGCTATGAGCATACTACGTCAAAGGTTTGGAAGACCTTCAATGATTATAGGGAACGTATACGAAACTGTCAAAGGTAACGGCATTCAACTTCAAGATAACCCCAAGGCACTTACTGAGTTTCTAGATAATCTTATGACTTATAAGAATACCTTCATATCTATGAATTGCATGAGTGACCTCAACTCGAGTTTTATACTAGAAGTAACACCAAGACGCATAACCACTCGACTGCAAAGGAAGTGGGTGAAGATAAGCTCCCGTATGGAGGATGAGGGTATCGAGCCAAAATTTGATGATATCTTGAAACTAGTAAAAGATAGTGTCAATCAATCTATGAGCAAGTTCGCCAGTCTATTACATCCCACCCGTAGAATAGAGCAGTCTGAGAGCAAAATGCAATCATTGATGACGAATAGGCCTCAGAGAGGTGGATATCGAGAAGGCTCCATGATGTCTAGTAATGCATATAGACCTAGTGAGTGTAACAGGTTTCGTAGTACATCCTCAACAGATAAGTTGCAAGATGCAAGAGAAACACAGTTGTGTTTTACACGTTTGCAAGAGGTGCATACAGAAGTGAACTGTGAACCAGTGAGCAAGTTCAGTGATAAGCTCAATGTGAAATTAAGGTCTGACTCCGAATTGTGTGACGGTAACGGTGTGGTCAAGAAGTCTGTAGTTGCAACTGGTAAGCCATTGTTGAATAGAGTGTCACAGAATAGAGTTATTGCTTCAGAGTACAGTTCTGATTCCACAAGTTTACAAAGTATTACTAGTCAGAGTGAAGATATAGAACCTTTAATGATTTGTGAGGAGGAACCAAAATTGTCTACTCCTTAGAGGAAGTCCTTAAAAACTTCTATGACAATATACAGTCGGTTAATGATGTCATAGCGCCTGTGAAACTGATTAAATTCAAAATCCCTCAAGGTGATTTTATTCCAATATCATTAAGAAGAAGTTTGCGGAAGCATTCATTAAGTTACTATAGACATGACGACTTATCGTCGTTAATCGCTATCAAATCAATCCTCATTAGAATCCATGAGTTAAAAAATCTAAGTCTTAGGAATAAAGAAACGCGGGCAATTCTGTCGCCACATAACACTGGAGAAATAGCCAAACTCTTCAAAAGTAGGTTAACTAACTCCAAATCAACATATCCAAAAATAATACACCTAGGTGGCATTACTCACGAAAGTGCTGAGGATATATGTGAGGTGTTTAGCACGCACTTTGCCAAACTGTACACTCTAGAAAATGACCAGGATATAGATTTCCCTCGTAAAACAGAAAAGTGTCTAAGCGATGTAGTCTTAAACGCCCAAGAAATCGATAAAGCTATCACAACTCTTAAGCTTACTATTACTCCCGGCCCAGATGGAATGTCTTCCGTCCTCTTAAAAAATGGTGGAAATGACATGAATCTACTTCTTCTCAAGATATTTTCAACTTCGATAAGGAGTGGAACATATCCAAATAGCTGGAAGAAATCCTACGTTGTACCCATTCACAAAACCGGACCTACAGCGGACATAGATAATTACCGCCCGATCAACATTACTTCCGTAGTTTCACGTGTGATGGAAAAGATTGTAAAGAAGCAAATTGTTCAGTATTTGCTCTCGAATGACTTAATATCCCCTTTCCAATACGGTTTCCTAAATAGAAGATCGTGCATTACGTGCCAGTTAGATTATTTCGACCACATTACTGAATGTGTAGACAAAGGTCGTTCGGCAGCAACATTATTTCTAGATGTTAGGAAAGCTTTTGATAAAGTCCCACATAAAAGACTCATACTGAAACTCCTATCTTATGGAATAAGTGGAAGGCTTCTTGAGTGGATAACTTCCTTTCTTACAGGAAGAGAACAGTTAGTTAAAGTCAACCATCACTTATCAACATCCAAACCGATAACCAGCGGCGTGATACAAGGTAGTGTTCTTGGCCCTACCCTATTCATTGTATTCATAAATGATATTGTCTCTATGATCAAGTATGGCAAGCCATACCTCTTTGCAGATGACCTCAAAGTTGTCTATGATTTTGACTATAATGATATGAATATTGTTAGTAAAATCCAAGAAGACCTAAATAGTCTATGTAATTGGAGTGAAAAGTGGCAGTTAACGTTCAATCCAGCTAAATCTGGGATAACATACTTCGGACGTTGGAAACCTAGCATGTGTCTATACATGTACGGTGACCTTGTCTCAAACACAAACACAGTCACAGATCTCGGGATAACATACTCAGATCTTACATTTACTGAACATGCAAATAAGGTGGTATCTGATTGTAAACGTCTAACCGGCTTTGTGCTACGCAACTTTTACACTCCAGAAGCCAGATTAGCCATATATAAGATATGCATTCGCCCCAAACTTGAATACTGTGCCCACTTATACAGTAGCTTCAAGTCGGCAGACAGAAAAAAGTTGAAAGTGTCCAAAGATTCCTTACGAAACGCATATTAGGCTATGGTCAGCAAATAGAATACCTTGACAGATGTATTCGACTGGACTTAGAGCCCTTATGGTTAAGGAGAGTGAAGTGCAATTTATTTCTCTTATTCAAAGTTATAAGAAAGCACTGTAACAGTAACTCGTCCATAACCTGGGCTAATCCTAAATCGTATGGACTACGCAACCACAACTACCTTCTCAAGGTTAACACCCATAAACTCATCACTAGAGCTAACTTCTTCACCATTAAATATTGCAAACTTTGGAACCAACTACCCTCTGAGATAAGATCCTGTGAAAGGCCTGACAGTTTCAAAAGGAGCCTAGAAAAACATATAAACATGTCCACCCTAGCCCGCCTCAAAGATCTCAACTGCTGGTAGAGTGGAGAGACAATGGCTTTTCAATATTTAACTACGGAAAGTACACTAGTCCCAATACCAATATAATAACACTTAGTAATTATGTAGGTTCAATACTTGAAATTCGATTGTCATTAAAATACTTAAAATGATTAAAATAGCTATGCGGCAAGTGTTCTCTTGCTTTACCATGCTTGTTTCCCTTATAACACTCAGTTATTGAGCCTAATGTATTCTTTGATAATACGAATTATGACACTGACTATGCTCTTATTATACATAGATTGATTTACTTTACGATTACCTGTAGTACTAACTACCCTTCTGTAGTATTGTTAAACAAATGCTGAAATTTTGTTGGTTCTGTTAATATCTTTTTATAATATGTTTAGACACGTTACTTTGCAATGTCAGATGTCTACTATATACAAGACTGTCATGATAATTTAGTACACTAAGTCCTGCCAACCGACCTTACCTTCAGTTCATACTACCTATATTGATCCCTAACTATATTGTTCTGCTGAATCTTGCTTCACTATTCACAAAACCTATTCTTTTTATTCTTTAAGGTTCTAACTTCTTGTAAAGTAATCTGTTCATTAGGACGCATGCATACATATATAATGTTCATAAAGATGTACGCGGAGACCTATTGGAAGCACTCATTAAGAAAGCTAGGGAGATGGAATATGAGGTACGAACATGTCTGGTACCAAGCAGTATATTTGCGGTAGCCATAATAATCATAGTCTCAGAGCTTAACATCAAAAAAGGAGGGAGGGTGGCGTTAGCTGATCAGTAGATATGGTGGCGGTCACTAAGGTGAATCGCCCCATTCTGCAGGAACAGCAATACACAAATTAAAGGCTCGAGATATTTCTGATTTTTATGAGGGCTTAGATCTTTATCTTGAAAAAGATAATAATGAACGCCTTGACAGATCATGCTTCTACCTCTAAATATATACTATTCGCCCAGCCTATTGTTGAGATGCGACCATGTGGGATGTGCACAGTTTTATGGGGCATCTTATAAACTAACTTGCTATCCATTGTCAGATCTTTAAATACCACTTCACAATGTCTTATCTCATTCATTTTCCAATAACGTCTTTACTTGATCCTCATTATATTCCATTAAACCTAACATTTTACAGCTCTTTATGACTTATTATATTCCTACTCTCTGAAGGGTACGGTTGTACATTAAATGCACAAAAAGGTATAAAACAAAAACAACTGGCACAACTGAGGATAAATGTATTAAAACCAAAATTGGACATCATGATAGTACGAGGTATATGTGTTGCATTATACATTGCAAATGAACGTTGTCAGCCTAGGGAGTTTTTTTTTTTAATGCATTTATTAATGATACTTGCACTTACCTATTTCATTACAATTTAATGATTCACCTCAGCACTTTTACTTTTCTAAAACAGCTTTCAATCCCTTGTAAACGTTGTACTTACCTCAATATTGGTTGGTTATCGTATGCCGACAACCACGGGATGAAAACGAAACGAAGTCGACTTTCCCGCTCAACCTGGAGGACAATTGTACAATTCAATAACTATACAGCCTAGTTCAGACAATGTGTATTTATATATATATCAAATATTTAACTGTTGAAACATTATTAACTTGTAGAAAATCTACGATTTGATATTATATCATACTTGATCGTGCCTGTAAAAATGGCATGCATTATCATGTAAATTTATATGTTTATATAAGAATATACATTATTATTATCATTATTATTATTAAAGAGTTTGAAAATGATGAATTCGACCAGATAGATGATGGTAAATTGAATATTTGTGATAATGATCATGATAGTGCAGATTTGTCTTTGGTTGATCATGATGAAATGAGGGATATTCCTACTACTGCTAAGTTAAATAAAGGTTCTGTAGAACTTGAACGTGAAGTAGAAATAAATGCAAATGCAGTTGCAGAAGGCATGCATACTTGTCAAACCGCCAGTGTGAGTCATCAGCATGTAGCCCACCTATCATCAGATGCTAGTGCTAAACCTGAGCTGATAGTAAAAGACAGCAGTGGTGGTGGTCTTGTAGGTAGACAAATTTCTGAAAGCCGAACAAGAACAGCTTCTGGTCCACCGCTAAGTTCATCAACTGGCATCAATCAGTCGTCGTTGGTGTTGTCATCCACAATAAGAAAGACGCTTATAAGCTCAAGTACCTTGTGCAATGAATTTGGTAGTAGTGGTGCATTTGAATGGACGAAAGATATTGCTCAGTTTAGTGAGGATAAGCCAAGTGTAAACGAGAGAGTAATTGTTAAATTGACTTGCATGAATAAAGGCATTTCTAGTTTCAAGTTACTATTTGAATGCTATTATCTTTGGTGTAAATTACTCTGTGCCTACGTTTGGTTGACCAGATATGTCGTGTGTTTGTTCGTCATCTATATTCTACGATACAATGACATGAGCGTGTTGCCGTTCAGATTTGAGGATATAGCTGATAGAAGGAAATCAGCAAATGAACTCTGCAACGATTTTCCAACCTAGAGCGTCAACCTGAGAAGGGTTGTAGGCGTACTGCTGTAAGTCCTACAATTCTTCAAAGGGTAGCGCATCAATGAGCAGTCCAATGTGCTTGATGTGTGATTTTGTACATATGTTCATATTGTATATACTGAATTGATATCATCTGTCATCTAGCTGTTGGTAATTCTGTTTGTGTCCGGACGACTTCCACTTGGATCATCAACCTGAGAAGGAATGTAGGCGTACTGCTGTAAGTCCTACAATTATTCAAGGGTAGTTTGTCGTGCCAGAATCCACAACATTTGATGTGTTGATTGTACATATGTCTGTGTTAAATAATTGTGTGAGTTCCAATTATTGTAGTTGTTGGTTAATGTTGTTTGTGTCCGGACATTCCACAACTTACAATCGTCAACCTGTGAAGGGTTGCAGGCGTACTGGTGTAAGTCCTGCGATTCTTCAAAGGAATTCCATCAACACATGATCCGCGAGTTTGTGTGCACTGTTTGTATATATGTGTGGTGTGTCATATCAATTGGTGTTTTTGGATCCATTGTGTTTACTCGTTGTTTTCGTACCTTGTTTTATTACATAATTTTGTTAAAATTTTCGTCGTGATTACTTCTGAAGTTGTTTCGAGTCTTCTACATCCGTGAATGAATTGATTGATGTTAGAGACAGCAGATGGGTCGTATACGCCGGGGAGGCTAGGCTATTGCTGAGAATGAAATGCGTACGGGGATAATTGTTAGCTGCTGTCCCACACGCCGAGGCGTAAGGCTGTAAACGACTGAGGCTCGCATACGTCACCGTTACTAGAACTGAGGCAGAATGAGTGACAAGCGATTGCAGTGGTAATTGGTAGTGAGTAGATACGAGGGTTTGCGTGGGGTATCGTGAGGTTGTGCTATGGTCACGTTGCATTCTGGAAGGTGGGAGGGTGGTGACTGCTATTCAGTGGATATGATGGTGGGGACTTAAGAGAACCACCCTTATCTGTGGGAGTGCACTCTAGTGCTAAGGCTCATGAGGATGAATTACTTCAAAAAAAAATAAATAAATAAAATAAAAACTAAATGCTGCCTGTATGTCACAGCTTGCGTACAAACTCTTTGAAAAAATGGCTCATGATACGATTTCTCTACTTCAGGAGGACATCTAACTGTATAAATCAGAACAACAGCATAAATCAGTATTACTATACTTCCTCTTTTCTTTTTAAATAACTTATGTACTTTGGCATTTGGATTTCACTTCTTCAGTTATTATTCCCAACATTACCCTATATAAGAGTGAAAACCATAATTCGTTTCGCCCTAATTTTTCCTTTTTTTATTGTTATTCTACACTTCAGTTGTTGTTTACTACTATAAACTTAATCTAACCGTTAGTATGTAACACTATAAAACTCAATGACTAGAAATTCCTAGTAATAAAATAGGAGAATAAACCCTGCGGTCATCGCATATTGTTTGCTTAAATTATTATTATCTGCTGGCTGCTCCTGTTTTCTTCACTTCTCGAAGGTATTGCACTGAAGCACTGCTAATGGACAGTAATCCTGCTTTCTACATCCGCATTACTTGAGCGGTATCCAGAGTATTGTTAGCACTTACGATGAACAACGGAACAAACTCCATTCTGAATTCTTTTCAACATCGCAAAGTTAACTTTGCGACCAATTGGTCCTTTTTATCTGCTAATACCAATATAATGCTGTACTTACCATCTAATGTGGATTTTTATAAACTTTCGAACCCTTATTGATTGATAAAATGATAATAATAACGGTGTGCATCCAGTGTGTCTGACTCTAGCACCTGTATATCACCTCTCTTCTTACCTTCCATTAACGCAAAATTTCATAATTCCCGCATGAATCTGACTCACTATGAGTATATTGAATATTATAATTTAGACTTAAACCAAAATCTTATGTTCCATTCTCATAAAGTTTCTAGAGGTCATTTTCCAATTTTTAATTTCTTAAAACAGTGTTCAATTTCAGACTGCACTTGTCTAATATGATCATGCCTGTACAAACGGTACGTGAATCATGTAAATGCTTAATTTATGTGAAATATATATATATATTAAGAGTCATTCTAACAAGTGGCAACTGTGTTGCGAGATGTCAAGAGGATGCCTTTAACTGGAAGGCGCAGGTCGTCATTGATGTGTCAGATTGTGCTGTGGGTATGCTTGTGGTGTGTTGGCTTTTCTGTTTGTTTTCCGTTTCAGCTCTGTTCGTGTGACCCAGGTTCTCGCAATGGCATCCAAGTCAACGTGTATTGGTCGTGATGGAAAAAAGGGATGGATCCGTATTTTGCCGAGGAGTGTCAATG